TGTTAACATGACCGGCCAACATGAATAGTTCTTGCCAAACCTGCCAAAAGGAGCAAATCCATCTGAGCACAATCCCAGCCGCACATTTCGTGGCTCCATAGCAAACTGAGGATGACAGCGGTCAAAGTGTCTCCAGGCTTCACAGTCCGAAGGGTGAGCCATCATACCCTCGTTGGTTTCGTGCTCAACATGCCATGTCATGTGTTTCGCAGTAGCAGTCGAAGCGTACATCCTTTGCAGTCGAGGAGCTATTGGGAGGTAATACAGTTTAGACAGTGCAGACCTATGTCGTGGTTTCTTTTTATTTTGACGAACAGGTTTGTATCTGTCTCCACCACAGAACTTGCAGAACTCAAGTGCCTCATCCTCCTTCCAGAACAACATACATCCTTCCGGGCACGCATCAATTTCAACACAAGGTAGCCCCAACTTAGACATTAACTGCTTCATGTGGTAATATGAATCGGGAAGGGTATGATCTCGCGGTAGCATCCCTCCTACTGACTGCAAGACTCTATTCATGCAAGTTTCAGGGAGACTGTATTCGGCTTTTATGTTCATGAACTCAGTAACAGCGGATAGCTGAGAGTATCCCTCACAATCAGCATACAGAGGTTGGTCGACAGCTTTTAGAACATCCTGAAATCTCTCAGCCAAACCTTCATCCACATAAGGTTGATAAAATGTCGGATTTTCATCCGCATCTGGTTGATACGAGGTTGAGGCTTCAGGGGGGTCGTTAGGTGGTTGTGGGGGGTTGAATTGAGACGGTACACCGTATGCGTCATATACCATTTGTTGGTCCCACCTCATTTCAGCACGGTCTCCCCACGCACTCATCTCTGGAGGGACGTAACGAGACGAACCTACCGTTTGTGGTATAACAGATGGATCCAAAGGTTCGCCGTGAGAAGTCCAATTATAATAATTGGGAACAAAACCGACCGCGTACAAATCATACCCAACTTCGTGTGGGTCTTTAAATTTGAGATTTTTACACTTTGAACATGGACATCTTATTTTATCACCACTCATATAAGCCGGATGTTCAAGTGCAAATTCAATAAATTCCCCGACTCCCTCGAGAAAATTTGATTGCATTCCGTACAATACCGCATCTTTATCATACATCCAACTTCTATTTTGTTTATACATTATGCCTGAATATTATAATAAAAAATTATATGAAATGCAATGCACACAATTTTAAGTAATTTATTTCACTAAATATAATCAACTAATTTTCACTTTTTTTAAATGAAATGCACAGAATTCACATCTTAGTTATGCACAAAATATATTTCCCCTAATGCACAATAATGCAGATAATTTCACTAAATTAAACATACGTTTAATTAAATCTAACTAATTCATTTAGTTAAATTTAACTAAATTTAAGTAGTTCATTCCGTCCCCTTTTAATGCATCACTACGTTTAAACTTACGTTTAGCTACCTAATTTAACTTAATTAACACATCAATAGCTACGTTCAAACCTACGTTTAGCAAACGAATTTTAATTAAATTATTTTTGTAAACCTACGTTTAAACCTACACTAAATTATTACGTTAATGACATTTAATCTTATTAGTAATACACAATTAACAATTCACTAAATTAAATAATATGACCAAATTCAACCCAATAATTTGAACATGTATATAAAGTTATTTGAATTAATAAGCAATACACAATTCACGATAACAATTCACAATTCACTTAATTAACACATTACTAACGTACGTTATTTGAACTAATTTCACTAAACATAAACATCATTACGTTTTAAACCACATTTATCTAACTAATTTTAATTAAATTATTTTAATTTATAAACCTAAAAGTTTAACTAATTCTAATTTATGACATTACTACGCTTATAGTTAAAACATGTTGTTAATTAATTAACAACCTCACTAATTTAATAGTTTTAATAATTTAAATTGAACCAACTAATTCTAAATAAAAATTATAATTCAAATAACATACCTTATCTGCATAAACAGGGAAAATGATAGAAGATAGACTACATCCTTCGATCTACGGATACTGTATATACTGGGAATGAATTGGTGTGGTTCTGTTGAATGAATGAGCTGCTCCTGCATATATAAAAAATTTAGTCACGGACTTAGTCACGGATTTGTCCGTCACTAAGCAAAACCGTGTCCAATACGCGTCCAACACGTGTTAATTACGTGTAAATGACGTGTTAATCAACATAGTCACGGAACTAGTCACGGATATGGCCGTGACTAGATTTATCCGTACATAATGCCGTTGCGAATTAACTAAGGGATTGAAAAAAATTAAATTTTAACTATAGTCACGGACTTAGTCACGGATTTGGCCGTGACTAAGTCATCGGGATAAAATAAACTTCGCCGGAAACGGAAAAGTTCCTATCGGAGGAATTAAGTCACGGTCCACGACCGTGACTAACATTAGTCACGGTCGTAGTCACGGTCCTGACCGTGACTATTTTTTTTTTTAAATTTCCGTGACTAGTCCGTGACTAGACCGTGACTAAACTAGTGACGGACGAAATCCGTGACTAAAATCCGTGACTATAACGCTGTTTTTTTGTAGTGAAAGCCGCAGAGCATGAACGAAACCAATTATTTTTCAAAAAATGCCTTACAATCTATATCCAAGAAAATAGTTGTTTTGAAATTTGACAAATTTTTAAATCTGCCATTTTTCAACTACTAATTTTTAAATATATCATTTTTGTATCTAAACATTTTTAAATCCATTTCAATTTAAACTCGTTGCTAGACATGTACTTCAAGTGCTGCGGTGAAGACAACATAACAGAATGTAAATATAGTAAATATCTACCTCCTTGTCGTGAAACACACATTCCAGCCTTAGTCTTAAACCCCAAATCTTGGATTGAGGAGATACATCCCGAATCAAACCAAACATAGAAGCCATTTTCCGCAAATATTGAACTCGAGTGATGCCTTCGTCTGTATTTGCTATGCGCGTATGCTGGGCTGGACAGATGTTGAAGTCCCTATTTATAGAATAAATTTTAACCCTATTTAATGTTCTTATGATGCACTTTTTTTATTTAAAAGGCACTTTCAAAATAAAAAAAACTTCTCATATAACCCCACGTTTTATTTAAACAACCGGTTACCACTAATTACGCATCGTGAAGGCCAAAAGCCACCATGTTTTTACTCACACGCTTAATATCACACATTCTTTCCTAAAGACTCACCATATCTCGGCTTAACACCTTTCTCTCCATTTAATGATATTGTTGCCACCACATAATATCCCTGCATTTTCTTTTTGAATTTTGAATACACAATCCCACCCAAATTCCCTCCCAAACTCCTCCCACGCTTTTCCATTTTACTATATATAGAAATAGGCTATGTTTGGCAGACAAAAGTTTCTGTCTTATGGCTTTTTTACTATTTAAAAAGTCTCTAAAATCTTCTAGTTGTATGTTTGGCATGACAATATTTAAGAGCTTTTCAAAAAATAAAAGCTCTTTTTTGAGATGCTACAGGGAGTAGCATCTGAGAAACGTTTGTGGCTTTTAGCATCAATTAATCCAAACAGCTTGTATACCAAACAGAACTAAATCAAACAGTAAGCTTTTTACCAAACAACTATCCACCTTTTCTTTTTAAGATCTTTTGAGTCACTAAAAGCTAACAGTTACTAAAAAGCTCACAAAAGTATCTTTTCAACTAGTTGTGCCAAACATAGCCATAGATGTGGCGAGTATGGATCAAATAATAAGTGCGCAACATTATGACGTTCTCGGATACTAGATGATTTTATAGTATCTTTGGTTTTATCTTTTATATTCAATATTGTCCCTATGATAATGTTCTCGGATACGTTCTTTTCTATATGTATAACATCTAAATTATGACGCAATCTCAATTTACTCCAATAAGGCAACTCAAAAAATATGCTCTTTTTTCTCCACCCATACAAGTTGTTTATCTCATCCCATTTCCTTTTCAAGCCCGTTTTTCCAAATGGAACTTGTCTAAATTGACTGCATTGATCCAATACATCATCACCAGACAAGGGAAGAGGAGCAGTCCCCTTTTCCACAGTTTTATCAAAGATTTCCCGTAACTTTCTCCACCTATGATTCTGTGGCAACCAACGTCTGTGTTTCATGTAAGCTGTCCTACATTTTATAGGAACTGATGGAGGCTCTCTATGACAAGAAGGGCAAGCAAAAAATCCTTTTGTACTCCAGCCAGACAAGTCTGCATATGCTGGAAAATCACTTATAGTCCATAAGATGCTTGCACGCATCACAAAGTTCTGTTTAGCATAGGCATCATAGGTCTTGGCACCAACCTCCCACAACTCTTTTAGCTCCTCTATCAAAGGCTGCAAATAGACATCCAAATCCATTCCTGGAGAATTTGGACCATCAATAAGTAAAGACAACATAAGATAAGGAGACTTCATGCACATCCAAGGAGGCAAGTTATAAGGTACCAAAACAACTGGCCAAATACTATGACTTGATCCTCCAAAACTGCTGAAAGGTGTGAAACCATCTGTAGCTAAGCCAAGTCTCACACTCCTGGGATCTTCTGCAAAAGATTTGAAGTCCTCATCAAATGACTTCCATGCGGGAGAATCTGCAGGATGTCTCATTATCCCATCATTAATCCTTTCTTTTTTATGCCAATACATATCTTTTGCGGTCTTGTTACACATAAACAGTCTTTGCAATCTAGGCTTTATGGGGAAATAACGTAACCTCTTATGGGGTATATTTTTTCCTTTTGTTTTCCACCTAGAAGTATGGCATTTTGGACACTCTTGAACTTCGGTATATTCACGCCAATAAATTATACAATCATTCGGACACGCATCAATGGTAATATACCCAAGACCCAAATCACTAATTATTTTGCGACAGGCATCGTACGAATTGGGCAAGTTACAAGATAAGAGATCATTTTGAAATTTCAACAATTGTGTGAAAGAGGTGTCCGTCCAATGATTCAAACACTTAAGATGCAACAATTTCATGATGTAAACCAACTTAGAGACTTTTGACCCATCCAAAAGTAACGGTTCTTTATAGTCTTCTAAGAGGCGATAGAATTTTAGTGCTTCTCCTGTGGGTTCTTGAAGTTTTTCATTGTGACCATCCACATTCGTCTCATCATTCCCAACAAATCCCATTCCAGCAACACCACAACCTACTTGTAACATATCTAGCATATTTTCATCATCAAGAACATCCTCAACAAAATTAGTGTCACTTTGAGAAGATATGTCAACCAGCGTTTCACCATGTTTATCCCATATAATGTAGCTTCGCAAGAAACCATTCTTCAACAAATCAAAACGAACTTCACTACGAGCTTTGTAACACACATTTGCACATTTACTACAAGGGCATTTAATCACATTTCTTGCATTGCTTCCCTGATATGCATTACCATTAGTAAATGCAAAATCAAGAAATTTTTTTATCCCACGCAAATATTCTGGAGCACCTCGATCTTTTAATTTCATCCATTCCTTATCCATTCATTTATCTTTAGCTTCAACTAACTCCCAGTCCTTCGCTCATTCCGTACATATAAATAAACGAATTAAAAGATTAACAATATAGTCAAATAAAATCATTAAATTCGTGCTCTGGTTATAAACAGAATAACCATCTATTCACGCATCAATTAGCAGTCCAAGTTCAATGTACAATTTCTAGATGTTTACTAAATTCCTAACCAAAAATACCAAAAACCTTCATGAAGTTAATACTTTAACAAGCGGACACCATAATTCAATTCGTGCTTTAGTTACACCATAACCAAACCAAAGATATGAACACTAAAGCCACACCACCTACCCTCATACTTAAAAATAAACCAGCAGCACAACCTACCTTCAACTTTGTCTATAGCAACCAAATTAGTTGGTCTTGGTATCCTATTTAGAAAAAAATAACCACTAATGCCTACTAGATTCTAAGTGCGGGAATAGATAAAAAAACAAAAACCTTAAGTCCTTAACCTGAAGTTCTGCTACAAAATTTAGGCTTACAATAGTGTGAAATTCAAAATCAACTCCAGTTGAAAAACATAATTATGCGGCAAATAGTGATGCCAATTCACCCTTAAAAGAGGTTATCAAAACTCAAACCGGAAGAAATCAAAATAGTTAGTTTACTTAGTTAGGTATTAAAAGTTTCTGAGGAAAAATTTTGCCCATAACCCACTAGCAAACTGGTTAAATCAACAAGTTAATTACTTCTCAAAAGATAAAAAGATGATATTCCATAGAAGGAATATCGATCTAAACATATCAGATTTTGAACCATTATACTTCTAAACATATGCCATAGATGGAATATCTAAACTCAAACAGTGATGCCAATTCACCCTATGAACCATTACACTTCTCACGTTTAGTTGAGAGCACTTGTACATAGATATCAACATCAATTGAATTATGTCCTAGGAAAATTGATAGATATCGACATTAACAGATCTATCCAACTAAAAAATCTCGAAATATAACAAAATATTAAAATCGATTAGCAAAATAATCATTTGGGAAAATGAAATGGAGTGATAAATTTATATTGACATTCCATAAAAAGAGAGATCTATCAAAACTATATGAATTTTCAGACTGATAGATTAAAAAATTGTAGGTGATACCTCTCCATTTGAAAACTGACTGAGAATCTCTGAATGATTTTGAGTGCGGAAGTATGAGAAAGTAAGAAGACGGCAGGGAAGAGCGCCTACATAGACGGTGAATCTTCAATCGCCCGGGAGAGCATCCATGGTTATCATCTTGTTTATGTCTGAGAGGAATTGAAATGCCCTATAGTATGGTAAAGGAGGTGAATAGCTTTTGTTTAGCAGAGTAAATGATCGGTAGTGCCTTTTGGTATGTTTAACTTTTTAGTAATGGGAGGTGAATAGCTTTTAGTATGTTTAAAAAACTAAAATTTTTAGCAACAATTTCCATTCTTAGATTCTGCCCTCCCGCCACGTTAACATTCTGGGTTGTATTGAAATTCAAAAAGTTTACGGAAAAAGGGTCAAATACACCCTCCTACTTTATCAAATAAATCACTTCAACCCCTCTACTATCAAAAGCATCAGATAAATACTCCTACTACTAAAAAACCATCAATTTGGTCCAGTGACCGGATCACAACTCCTCATAGCAAGTCGTTGGTTGATCCGACAGGTTTTTCCATTTCTTATTACAATATCTTTTTTTCCATTTTTTTCCTTTTGTGTCATATATACCCAGTTCATAATATGAAGTACGTACTACATAGTTCCGTACCTCCCGACGAGTTTCTCTCTTCCATTCTTTTGCCTTAATTTTCATCCTTTTTACTTTTTTTTGTCCACCACTAGAATAGAATGTACCCCCCCCCCCCAATTTTACTTTACTTCTCTCGTTTAAATTTAAGAAATTTGAGAATATGATCTAAAATTCATTTTCTATTTTTATGACTTTTTCTTAATATATACTTCGTTTGTCCCTTATAACTTTGTCATATTTATTTTTTTGGATGTCCCAAATATTTACCATGTTTCCTTTTAATCAATGAATATGTAGTTCCTGTTATCTCTCTCTCCTTTGCACATATCACAAATCACAATCACACAGTTTTGCTTTATTATTACGCGTGTCGATCAAACATGACAAAGTATTGAAAACGGAGGGAGTATTACATTTTATTTTAAATGAGTGCAACGATACACTTTTCACGATTGCCAATACACAATTTTGATCTTTAATATTTTTTTAAATTAAAAATCAGATTTTGAAAATTTACAATGAGAGAAACTAAAACATTTTTTTAAAATAAATAAAATATAATGAAAATACAACATTAAATGTTTTCTCTCATGCGTTTTCTTATTAGATTTTATATTTAAATGTTTTAATTAAATTTTGTTAACCAATAGGAGAGAGACACATCAACAATTTTCATATGCTTCACTTTTATAATTAGGATGTTTTTACTTGTACTGTAATTTGCTAATCTAGTCTGTTTAAGTCAGGTCTGATCTCATCTGGTATAATTAGGTCTGATCTGAACTGGTCTGGTAAATTGATTAAGGACCACCATTTATATGCTTACCATTGTATACTTTATCTGGTTTAGTTAATATTGTGAACAGTTAATATGCTTACTTTTTTCTTCCCTCTTTTCTCCAGTTTTTACAACATTTAATTTTCTCCTCCAGAGAATTTTATCCTCCTTTTTCTCTAATTTGTTTTCTTATTAGATACTATGTATTATAATTAAAAGTTTTAATTAAATTTTGTTAATCAATAAGAGAGACACATCATCAGTTTATATATGAGTTTTGGTGTTTTACTATATAAAACAATAGATTATTGTTCATATTGAATGTACTCTTCTTTGACATTCAATTTACAAATTGCATCCCATACGTTCGGATTTAAGTAAATGTGATCTTGTAAATAAAAGTGAATTTTTTCGATTGTTATTTTATCTGTGATGTGCAATAATTTTATCGAGAACTTATCGGTGCCATTTTTGATGTGTAAAAATTACGCTAGTGCTGTTATTGGTATTGTTTAAAACATTTTATCTGTGTCAGACATTTATTGTTTTAAAGTTAGATTCTCCGACAATTCGACAAAGAGACTATATTTCAACAAGTATACAAGAAGTGTATAATTTATTCATATTCCTAAAAAGGAAACAAAGAAATTAGAAAATGGAAAAATAATCTTTAGAGCTTCTTGTAAAATATGATCCGTTTCTTTGATTTAAAGAGGAAGAAGAAGAAGAGTAGAAAAGAAAAAGATAAAAGAAAGAAGAAAAAGAAAAGAAAAAACAAAACGAAAGAAATACTCCGTAATGTTTCTCGGTGGAAAGTTGGGAACTATACTAATACAAAACAAAAGAAATACGGAGTACTCCCTAAATACAGTAGTAACAGTACGTAGTGCAATATACTCCGTATAGTATTATGGGGTACAAAATACATAGAGGATAGAAAAAGAAAAGAAAATGAAAAGGAAAAATACAAAAGACAAAGTACTATGTATGTCAGATACTCAGATACTCAAATCAGCCTATGACCTGTTGCAAAGGGTTGCCATCTGGTAAATGGGTTTACATGATGTTTTTTAAAGAGTAATTGTATTTATGTGATGCTTTTTATAGTAGATGGGTTGAAGTGATCTTTTTGATATAGTATAGGGGTGTATTTGACCCTTTTTCCAAAAGTTTACATTTAGGAAGTTTTTCGATACGATAAAATTTACTTCATTGCTAATTTTTATTATTAGCCACAAATTATTATATTGTATCAAATGCTTGTTACAAAAAATCATTATTCTTGTAGTGTGCTTCCTAGACTAGGTGAAAAATAAGAACTAATCTTGGTCATTGATGTGAAATGGAAGAGATCAATTTTTAAGTTGGAAACGCGGTAGCATTTTTGTAATTATGGAGAACTTTTATTGAAATTTTTGTGAGAAATGTGCATCAGAATAGTCAAAAATTGCACACATAGAGCACAAAAGTGCACAATACGGTACAAAATAAAAAGTGCACAAGCTGGAAAATTTTGACAATCTTTTTTGACACGCATGAGTGCACTTTTAATCCGTAACTATCCACTTTATAGTATATACGTTTGCACATTTTTTAAATGAGCTCTTGTGTTTAAAGTTCATTTGATCCATCCATTTTCAAGTGATGTAAGACCAAGATTTGTTCTCACTTTTCATGGGAAGACTACTTTTACTTGAACACACCCCTAGATGTGGCTATTGAAAGTTGAAACTATTGAGTAATAAATAACCACTGATTTACTCCATTACAACAAATTTAATTCATTTGACTACAGCGAGTGTTAGGATGTTTTCTTTTGGACTAAAATCTAATGGTCTAGACTGGTCTGGTCCGATCTAGTCTGTTTAAATCTGATTCGGCGTGGTTTGAATTGATCTGATTTGGTATGGTAAACATTTGGTCTATGTGTACTTTATAATTTATAATTATCCAAATCTGATCTAATCTGTTTAAGTTTGGTCTGATTTCATCTATCTAAGTCTGGTATGAGACTGAAAACATTCTTAAAACTTTAAGCACACTTTCCACATAATAATTTAACACTTTATGAATACTCCGTAGCATGTGCGCAAATATCATGTACTCCCTCCGTCTCATTTATATTGTCCCGGTTCCTATTTACTTGGTCAACACAAATCACTCTTAATTTCTTACTTTATATATCAAAAATTTATCAAATTTGATTCAGGTTTTTGCGACTTTGTAAAGTTTTAAATGTAGTTTTTGAATATGTAATTTTTTTTTCTAAAAATAATTTGGGTGCGGACAAGGATCTGTTTGCTTTATCGTCATTCAAACATCGTAAACCGTAAAGAGACCATATAAATGGGACGGAGTCACGAAGATAGTAATATCTTATGAAAATCTAAAACAGTATTTCCGTATAATTTACTAATTGCCTAATTCTCACAATTCATTCAATTCATAACTAAACCCATTCAAAGAAGACAAAACACTAAATTCATGATTTTCAATAATTTACTAATTGCCTAATTAACATGCATGTATGGTTTATATCACTACGATTTATGGTTTTCAATAAGGTAGATTCTATGGTACCCAAAAGATATCGTACCTTTGTCCACATGGACCAATTAGAATGTTGCAGTTGAATTATTTAAGTCTAAATTAAAATTGATATACCTATGTGGACCGATCAAATAAATGGTAGATACGGTACCTCATTTTTTAAAGGGGTACCGGAGTTCTCACTTTATTGAAAACCATATTCGTAGTGATGTAAACCATACATGCATGTTAATTACGAAAATCATGAATTTGAATTTAGTGTTTTGTCTTCTTTGAATGCGCAAATTATATCATGCAACCGGCGCACCATGAGGATGGTGCGCCCGGTTGCAAAACGACGGAGTATTGTGCCTGGTTTCTTTATTTTTTATTGCTTTTGTTGTTAAAAAATGGTAATAACTTTTTTATTTTTGATCCGATTTTTATAAAATTTATATCAACATTTTTTATTTTTCATGATCTTTCAAATGAGACCAATATTGCTTATGTAATTTTAAGAAATTATCGAACTATTATATTAATGAGTATTGGATTATAAGGAAAATCGAACTAAATTTAATACAGAAAAATAATTGTATAATCCACAATTTATCTTAAAATTGTGTACATAAAAATTTATTGTATTATGTATTTATACATGTGAGTTACATATTTTTATACGTGAAGTTGCATATTTTTATACGTAAAGTTACATATTTCTACACGTGAGTTACATATATATACACACGAGTTGCATTTGACCTGCTTGAACGCGAGTTACATATATTTACACGTAAAGTTACACATTTTTACACGTAAAGTTACATATTTATACACGCGAGTTACATATTTATACACACAAGTTGCATTTGACTTGTCTCAACGCGAGTTACATATCTTTTTACGTAAAGTTACATATTTTTACACGTAGAGTTACATATTTATACACCCGAGTTGCATTTGGCCTGACTGAACGTGGGTTACATATTTTAACACGTAAAGTTACATATTTTTACACGCAAATGTTAATATGTTAAAATTACATAGGCAATATTGGTCTCATTTGAAAGATCATGAAAATAAAAAATTTTGATATAAATTTTATAAAAATCGGATCAAAAATAAAAAATTATTAAAATTTTTAAAAAAAGGAGAAATAAAAAATAACAAAGCCAAAATATACGAACTGCTTCTTCGCTCTCCCAGGTATACCATGCGCACCGTGGCACGGTTGCATGGTATA